CTGAAAGTCTTTAATCTTAATCTGTTAACTGTTACTTTTTAAGATATATAAGAAAGAAATTAAAATGGAATCGTGATAAATTTGTCATAATTGTTTAATAGACTATTTATATATTGCAAACTTATATCATATTATATATGAATATGTTTTCATTCTCTGTTAAGTAAAAATCTTCATTTTAAAGATTTCAATTTCAAGAAATTTTCATTTGTAAAAAAAACGAACTTTTTCCGTCTTAAAAAATTAATTTTGAACATTTAGATGAAAAGGAAAGAAAGCTATAAATTGGCCATTTTGATGAAATAAAAAACGACATGAAATTGCAAAAAAAAAATTATGGGTGCAAAAACGGAAAAAGTATTAAAGTAATGGGAAAAATACTTTAACCATTCGTTTTTCTTTTCTCACTTATGAAACATATTAAAAAATTAATTATAATCAAATTTTGGAAGGAAGGACCTATTCATTTTTCAATTCTTTTATAAGTTATTTTTACTGTGCATGAAATTTGAATTTACTAATAAAACAAAGACGATGTGCAAAGAGAAAAAGAAAAAGAGAAAAAATGCAGTTAAATTTTTCTAAAAATTAATGAAGAAAAAAAATTTTGTTTGAATGTAAAGAACTAAAGTGGAAAAATGAAAATTATGAACATCTATTTCAATTTATTTATTAAATTTCTAACCTTCTAACACTATTTTAAATGAATGAAGTTAAGTTAATATAAAATAAGAAGTAAATAAGTAAGAAATAAGTCAGACTAAATTTGACAAATAAAAACTTGCAAAAAATTGAAGGAAGTAACAAATATTATAAGATAATGAATAAATAATAAGTATTTATTGAAATAATCAATTTTTGCTGAGATTTAGATACTAAAGAAAATTAAAAATTAAATTAATTAGTACAAAAGAAAGCCAAAAGTTGTTAAAGGTCAAAAAATGCATCGTAAATGTTAAAATGATATTAACATATCAAAAACATGTCAAAAAATGTTAAAATGATATTAAAATGATATTAACATATCAATAATATTTACCACGTTATCATGTTAACATTCTTTTTTTCCTTCTCCATCTTTCCTCCTTACTATATCTCCCTCCTACATTAAATTAATACAATTAAAAGTGATATTTACTTGATAAAGATATCTAATAAGTGACTGAATAAGTTAATTTTAAGGCGAGCAATAAAGTAATTTCTTCCTTTCTTCCTTCTTCTCTCTCTCTTTTAAAAGATAATAACGGAAGAACAAGATTCGCTAATAAATACATCATTTTATTAAAACAGGAATTTTTATTATATATATAATCAAAAATCCAAATTATTTATATCGTTGAAAATGAACATTAGAAAGGAATATTCAAAATGATTATGATAGAATAGTAATTAAAAAAAAAATCATTACTGGAATATTTGTACATGAAATATGAATACATACATATACTTGTTTTACTATGAAAAATTATAAACAAATAAATGGTCAATACTATAAATTTCTTTTTATTTATCCACTTAGTAAACAAACAAACAATTCAGTAAATAAATAAATAAACAAACAATCTGACCATTCATCTCCTCACCTTTTCATTCATAACTGGTTCTTCATTCCCCTTTTCAATTTTTTTTTGCTGCAATTTATTGTCCACTTCTATTTTTTTTCTTTTTTTTTTATTCTGATCATCTAAATGACCCTTGATGGACATTTGCTTCATTTGGGCTCCTTCAAATACAATTTATTTCCTAAAAATATTTTGCATACAATGAACAATCCTTTCTTTTTTTATAACTTCCGCAAAAAAAGATTTAAATTACATTTGCAATAAAGGAAGTTGTTCAATCGTTCAATTCTTTTGCATGTTTCTAATTCATAATTTGATTGATTAGCACCATTTCACAAAATTTGACCTTGACAAAGTACAGAAAAAAAGTTAATAACTTATATAATTTTATTGATTGTTAGAACTGATGAAATTACAAATGGATTATTACTAAAAAAAAAATTTTTTTTAGAGATAAATTTCCTGGATAAATTTGTTTTTCTGTCTCAGCAGTCTTATAATTCATTTCTTTCTTTCATTCTTTATTTCAATCAATTAACTTTTTTTTTTTTTAATTATTTGTTAGATGTATTCAAGAAAAAAATAAAAATTAAATTCTCTTCTTCATCATATCATTAGCAATATGTATATTGTTTATTCAAAACTGAATGTAAAATTTTTGAATTTAAAGTTGATATCTTGAAAACAAAATCTATTGCAGCAACTTTTTAATAAAGAATGTTTTATTTATTCATATTTAAAATTATAAAAGTTAAAACTTTATCACATATGAGTTTGAAACATTTAACGCTATCAGTTAATATATCAGTATATTATTAAAATAATTAAATAACATTTTAAAGATTAAATTTTAATATTTTCTCTAAAAAATTAACAAAAAACATATGCTTAAATAGTATGTGCTTCTAAAATTTATAAATAACAATATTGATTTTATTAATTTCGATAATAGAAAAAATAAGTATATACAGTATTTATCTATCAAACCAATATACCATATAAATAATTATTTGGTATAACAACATTTATAATATATTAAAAATAAATTCACCTGAATTTAAAAGCAAAAGGCAGACGAAAAAGGGAAAGAATAAAAGGAAGAAAAACAAATTTCAAGCTGTTACAATTCTTTTTTTCCCCGTCTTTTTCTTCAACACGTCATGTTTGTGTTAATTATCAATGATATTTGTTTTTCTCGCCTTCTTTTTTTCATTTTCTTTTTTTTTTTTTTGTTAAATATTTCATTTGATTCTTTACCAGCATTCAATGTAATATTATATTCGGATGAAAATATTAAATATAAAATTAAAAAACATCATTTGCTTTTTTATTCGTATTAAATGCAAAAAAAAAGTTCTTTCTAAACTTTTTTTTAAATATTTTTTTCAATTTATGCTAATCGTTTCATCCGTAGCTTTTTTCTTTCTTCAAATCTTACAAATTCATTTTTGATATAGAATTTTATAAATTTCAATAATATACGTTCATAATAATATTATTGTGTGGAATAAAACGAAGTGATTAATTACTTTGAAGCGACGATAATTATTTAAATTTTATGTTCATTCATAATTTTTTTTCTTGTTTTTTGTTTTTTTTTTTTTTTTGCACAATTCATTACAGTAAAATGAGTGCCAATACTATTTATAGAAATATAGCACAGACATTATTTTAGGTAAATGGCTAAAAATGAATGCAAATTACTATTTCATCTAATTTTCAAAATTTCTTTTCAATTTGAAAATAAATATCCTGAAAAATTATTAATTACTTGCAATGAGTTATTATTCAAAAAAAAAAAAGAAGCGGAAATTATAATAAATATGAAAAACCTATCATTTATGTATCACTTGTTTTCTCTTTCGTTGCTTTTCTATCGTTCTATTATCTTTTTATCAATTATCAATTTTTAAAAGTTTTATAGGAAGAAAAATTGGTAATGATTTAACTCACCATATTTTTTCATCTCGTTAGCTACGTTTTTAATTAATAACAATAAGTATTACTATTATTATTATACTATTAATTAATATTATTCTTTTGGTATTATTATTACTACTATTGGTATTATTAATACCATTATTGTATATTTTACTACTATTGGTATTATTAATACTAATACTATTACTGTCATTATTATCATTATCATTATAACAATGAAAATAATATTACTTATAGCAATAAAAATAATATTTTTTGAGGAAAAAAAATGAGAAAAAAGGAAATTATAACTAATGATAACAATGGTGGCAAAAATTTACCACATGAAATCTTACTATGAAAGAATAATAAAAACACGTAATGTTATAAATAAAAAGAGTGGATACAATTAAAATAAGAAAAATGAGATTGACAAATAAAACGACATCACTTATCAATTTTCATCTTACACAATAATGGAATATATCCTATTACTTACAAATATCCATATTGTGTTTTGTTCCTTTTTTTTTGAAATTTTCAACGAAACAATCATTAAATTTAATCCTATTATACTAACGTTCGTACCTTCCCTTCCCTTACTTTTTTTATCCTTTCATTCATTACTTTCTTCCCTTTCCCATTTTTCTTATTTTCGTTTTTTTTTTCTACATTTTCACTTTCCAAAAAAAAATGAAAAAAAAAAAAATGTTTACTTTTATTCAAACTTCTCAACAGGAATTTCAACACTATCATTTTATTAATATTATTAATGTTATTCGGACCTTTTGTTTAAGCACTTTAGTGGACATCACCAACGGAGCAGAATTTAAATGAATGAACAAACAATTTATCATTGTCAATCATTCTATAATTTGTACTGGTTTTCTCATTATTATCAACTAATTCGCAAGATTGAGAAGCTATATTTCAAGTAATTTGACCATTAATCAATGCTGAGAATTAGGCGAAATGACGTAATGTCACATCTTTTGTTTGACATGTAAAATCCTTTTAATTTCCATAATATTTTAGAAAAGTTCCCAGTGTACTTTAATAAATTGACTATATAAAAAAAAGTCTTAAGCTACAATAATTCCGCTATTCTGACTAGCCGATTAAATTGTCTGAGCTCAAATCTAATGAATAAGAAAGAGAGAAAGAATTTTAACTAATGAAGTAGCACAATGCATCATCTTGAATTTTGATTTTTTTTAAACAAAAATAATACAAATAGTTAGTCACAAGTTTACTGATGAGCAAATTTTTTTCTTATACCATGAGTAGAAGGAATTCTTGATGGATAGTAGCGCACAGAATCTATGAAACTGAAATATCGCTCCCTTTATCAGATGATAATTAATATAGTTCTTTTATCTTTCTGATCTCTTTTTCTAGCTCTCAACAATGACATTAAATATAACAAAAACTTTTAAATTGTTTGAAAATTTCAGAAAAATGTATGCAAAAAAGAAACGAAAAATTTCTTCGGGGAAATGTATAACATATTAAACTGCATCATTTATCAATGTTAACATCTTTCACGCTGGCGCTATCACCAAATCTGTACTCCTCATAAATCTGTTCGTATAAAGCACCGCAGGCAACAACTGCTTTTAATTTGGATGCTAATAAAAAGGATCCAGAAAGTTTTCGATGTAATGAGTAAATTTCATCAGGCGGTGATATTAGGCGATGTTTTAACATCACTGGAATTAATGCGTGAATTCTTTTCGTTACATTCTGAAATTTTACAACATTTTCAAATATTTTAAAGACATATAGTGAGAGTTTAGCAACCAAATGTACTGGGAAAAATAATGTAATTCATTTCAGTAAATTTTAATTTGTCTTAAATTTCGGATAATTTTCTTTTAAAAATAAAACGACATGTATGATTATACTTCGAAAAAACTTTCAAAGTCTAAACCTGTTTCGAAAAATCATATGGAGTTGTAGATGCCAATGTCTCACCCAGAATACCGATTGATTCACAATGCGCATTCTCCATTATCTGCAGCAATATTTAACACGTGAAACACAAATTTTTGGAATGTTCATTTCACAATGATTTCTCAGTAATGTAATGATATACAAATTTTGCACAGTATAGTTACCTTTGATTCATATCCTGATAGGAAACCAATCTTCCTCGAATATTCCAGCATCTGCAAATGAAGTAGCTCATAAACAATAATTTCAAATGTATTAATCAAAAGTTTGACCAGGATTATGTAGATTAAAATTTGGGTTAGAAGATACACAATGTTTTAAGAAAACGTTTACTTTATTTTTGTCATTGTCATAAGCAGCACGAATAATATTCATATACTGGTCAACAAACTTTCTAGGATATGAACGTGAAGCTCCAAAATCCAAAAGAATTAATGTTGGACCATTAGCAGTTGGATGCTTGCCGAGATAGAAATTAGACCAGTTTGGATCGGTCTAAAAGAAAATAAATAACTTGTGTTTTCTAAGTTTTAAATTGTGAAAATGCCGAATAAATGAAAATAATTATAAGCATTTAATTTATACTATTAAATGTTTAGGAATTTAACATGCTTATGCGAAGAGTCATTCATAAATCATGCATTGAAATATAACTTGAGAATGACAAGTCAAATTTCTATAGTCGTCTAATTCAATTCACCACTTTCTTTCTAAATAAAATAGTTCACGATACAGGTCTAAGATTTATTTACAGATTTTAAAGTTTTTAATCGAACAAAACGACTGTTTTTAGAAAGATAAATTGCTTCGTAAAAAGATATCTTATTGCCACAATAATTTGAAAATGTAGTCAACTTGCTGCAAATTATTTAATACCACAAAGAGAACATGAACAAAGACTACCTGCATAAACCTCCAAACGAAAATTTCGCGGAGACAGAGTTCGATAAATTTAGAAGCAATGTAATTACGAACTTCTTGTGGCTCATCCATACATTTGTCAACAGGGACACCCTCCATGTACTCCGTTGTCAACACATGTGTTGTAGTTAGATCATCAATCACCTAAAATTATTGATTCAACGATCCGATGATCACTAAAGAAAAGAAATTTAGCATAAATGACTGATATCTAATAATGAAAAACAGATTCTTTTCTATATCCCGTAGTGACATATAAAACAATCCAACAGAGGAAACATCAATAAAAGAATGAGTCTGTATAAGAAGGCTTAACTTTATCAGACGAAATTACCATTTCTCTCCAATTCACATCCTTTCACGGAAAATTTCCTTCATTCCAATTAAAAACTATGCAGCATATTTCCAAAATAAAGAAGTTTTTTTTAAAAAAAAAAAAACAATGAATAAAAATTCCAAAAGCAACATCAACTGCAAACTTTTGGAACATAAAAATGCTTGTCATCGGCTAACAATCGTTGAAATTCTTTTATAGCACGTGCTTCGCGTTTGTAATCGCATTCCAGTTTTAATTCTTTTCTTGCTACCTAAATTATATCCTTAGTAACTACGAAAGGTTTAGAAGTCAGATACTACTCCTGGATGAAAATATTGTATTCTATATTAATCAAATCAAATAAATTCACCGCTGCAAAATTTTCCAGATAAAGGCCCTTCGGAAAGAAGTTTCCATAGTTCAGTATTGTTACTAAATTATCAATATCCGAGTCAATGCCTGCTGATACTCCAGGATATTGAATTTTTAGCGCAACCTTTTCTCCACTAGGTAACCAAGCTCGGTGAACCTGTAACATCCGAACAAAAGATTATTCGTTTCTTCTCTCAAGAATGGAAACCATATGAACAAAATACTAAAAATAAACTGAACTTTTCGTTTATTAAAATTAAAACTCGTCCTAATATAACTTCAACCTGTCCGATGGATGCAGCCGCAAACGGAACATCCTCAAATCTTCTAAATTTCTCACGCCAGTTTTCACCAAACGAATCACACATCTGACGGTGAACCTGCCATGATGGCATGAAATCAGCATTGTGTCGAACACGTTCAAATATTTTGAGTAACGTTGGTGAAATTAATTCCGAATCTGAACTTGAATTGCTCATATTGATCAAACAGAAGGTATCTGTACAAGTTAAACAATGACAGTTATTTATAATTCATGATTCTACATATTTTAATGAACGAAAAAAAAACGAGAAATAACCTTGTATGCTGAGCATTTGACCCAACTTTAAGGCAGCACCACGCACTCTACACAGAGTGCGTACAATCTTCTCAGCATTCGCTTCCGTCATGAATGGATTTCCGGTAGAAGTAATACTGGTATCTGCTGATGGATTTGCAGGCTAAAATTATTTTATTTCAAAAACACAATCACCGCCCAAAATCTTAATTTCAGCAAAAGATAAAATCGAAGTTCCAAATTGACGACAAATTTACCTTACTAAATCCCAGTGTCCGCTTGCTGACTTCTGCAGCTGCACCCATAATGAGACTGACTCCAAGTTGGCCAAATTGAGCAAATCTTGCTATGCGAGAGCTTGGTACTTTGCGTTCCCGATTCTTTGTATTTAAGGATTCTACTTCCAAAGCTTTCAACTGATAGCCCTGAACATACATGTCGTTTTAAGTTATGTATGATCAGTAAGATAAACTGTTTAGCTTGATGATGTGGAAGTCAAACCTTTGGTAAACGCGGTTCATAATACTTCGATTTCGGAGAAACTATTGACGAAACAATATCTGCATCCTTCCTAAGAAATATCGTGGTGTTTTCAGGCAAAATTTGCAAAGTAAACATTTCTGAATTTTTGTAATCATTCTCAGTAATCGAAAACGTTTGGATTAGGGTGATTTATATATTATATACTAATGTACACTTACTTTGAAATATAGTTAAATCCTAATACAGAACTTTCGGAAGCTTGTTTTTTGCTTAATCCACTGTCACCGTTCTTCCAGGGTTTGTTGTCAGAGTTGTTCGAAGTGCTGGCATCCTATGTAACAACATTGTAATTAATCAATTAAGATTAATCTTTAAACAAAATTTCTGAAGGATGAAATTATTTACCTCATGAAAAACTTGTATAAGACTTGACGAATTATCAAGACCTGCATCCGAGACCGTGTAACCTGCCGTACCTGTAACTACAATTCAGAAACTTTTTCATCGTTACTGTCATAAAACGACCAATACAGAAGGAAAGTTTTAGACAGTTGCTTCATCAAGCAAATTAATACTAACCAGGATATATGCCTCGTGTAGCAAGTTTCGTGAGTTCCCTAACACTTGAAGAAACTGTTTGAGCACGTCCAAAAAGATCGCAAAATTTTTCGAGCGTCCACCTTGAACCCCTTTAAATAATTGTTTAATTTCACAAAATAATAAAAGTAATAAACAGCTTGATGAACTGTTGCACATCCAGCTGCAAAAATCCGTTAAAATAAAGTGAACGTTAGTAAAGTATAAATACATATATACATGGTCTAAGTGAAACTGGATGCAGACATTCACAATTAGATTTAAAAAATTTACTTGAAGTCAAGATGCCGCATTTGGTATCCTAATTGGCTGCGCACCAAAATGCGAAGTGTATTCATTATTGGACCGAATTCGTCTCTCCATGAACTACGATTCATCGCTTTTCTTTTTTCGGTTCTTAATGTAAAGGGAAAACGGCATAACTCAGTTTAAAACAAATCCAGAAAAGATTTCTAATAAATAATTAATCAGTAATTATAAAGATATCCATTTATTGAATCAAAAATTCGATACAACAAAACACACCACGGATGTTACATAAATCAGATTAAAAATCTGTTAGTGGAAGAATAAATGTAGTAGATCAATTTGGAAATCCACTGCAGTTCCGAGGAATATTACCTAAAAATTGATAACAGAAAGGTGCGACGTAGTAGAAAACGCACCACGTTTATTAAGGTTCAAAAATGTCTTGGAAAACGCAAAGTGTTTTTAAAATGGAAAAAATAGAATCATTTATCAAGAAAAATAACTTTTGTCCAACATTTAGCAACAGATAAAAGCAACACAGATTTGAATAAAATCTCACATCCTGTACAAAATTGTACAACTTCAAAGTCGAAGCTAAATGACTTTTCAAAGGAAATTTTCAAAAAAAATTTCACAACTCTTTCAAACATTTACAAAGTAGAAGTATAATTTATGCAAAATATAGTAACCTTTTAAAATAAAAACCAAACCTGCATCGATTAAAACCTACACTTCCTATATACCTAGCTACCAGATTATTCTTAAAAAAAGTGAAAAGTTATATATAGTATCAAATTCATCAAATTTTCAAATCAACATTTTCAACTAATTACATACAATAATGAACATTCAAATAATTTGAATATTATCACTGCAGCAAGAAATAAAAATAAACAAACGAAATAAATAAATAAAAATAAACAAACCACCCTGATTGATCTCAATTAATGATATACATATCTGAAAATCCCGAAAAATACACTGAAATACCGCTCATCGTTATATTATATATTATATCATATCATACCACATTACTTCTATTTATTTGTTTTAAATTTAAACATGAATGTAATTCAAATTTATAACTTTCATATGTATACCCTCTTTTTTTAAATGCTTAAACTTTTTGATGTATCTAACATTTTTAAGATGACGAATCGTGAATGCTCTCCAGAATAAAACGCTAAAGGCATCTCACCCGTTCATTTCACTACATTTTATCGACCAATTCTTGCCATTCCTCTTTTCCTCTTTTCTCTCTTTCCCTCCTATTTCCCTCTTTTTGACATTCCTTACGAGTAAAATATATCCCACAAACACATACACATACATACATACATACATATACATGCATTAAATACCTTTGAGCCAGTTAAAGCTGGGGAAAAACTGACGAATCATCTTGTTGTTTTGAATTGATTAATGGTTTTATTTTACTTTATTGTCTTTTAGCCTGATGTAATCTCTAACAACGATAATTTTAACTTCTTAAAAAATTCTTTTATTGATGACGTTACGACCACGTTATTAAAGAAATCGACAAAATTACATCACTTTAAAATAATTAGGTTACATTTGATAAACTATTAAATGAGAAATCATTTATGATATCATTTAGAAATATTTCATATCAAATAAATTTTTTTCTAACATTCTTCTTAATAACTAAGTATCTTTTATTATCAAAATTTATCAAATATTTATTAAAATATTTTTCTCCTTCTTTTCTCCCTATACTTGTCAAAAATTTTTAAGTGTATTTATTTGCGAATATATATATATATATATATATATCGCAAATTTCTTATGTTTATGTACAAGAAAATTTTATGTTAAATAGCATATATATATGGAGAAGACATAACCAATCGTAATTTTAGCTTTTTAATACACATATTATTTCAATATTTCTCAGAAGAAAGTTTTAGTAATATAAAATTTGAGAATTTATAAAATCTTTCAAAATATAGTATCATTTCAGGTAAAATAATAAAAACAGGGAACATTTAAAAAAGAAAAAGGACAATTTTAAGGTATGGGAACAACAGAAAATAACGTTAGAAATTGACGCATTCATGTAATAACGTTAGAGGTTGACGCATACGTACAATGATATTACAATCCGCTTCATACGTTGGCACGTTTTCTGTCACAATTTCTGTATCTGTTATTTTTCAATATAAAATTTTTTTATATTACAATTTTTTCTTTCTGTTATAATTTCTGTGTTATTTTTCAATGTATAATATTTATGTTATTATAATTTCAAGGAAAATTATATGAGTAAAATATTATCATTACTACTGTTATTATTCCTCGTACTGCAAATTATTTAAAGTTTGATCAACATTTGTGTATATGTGATTCAGAATGAAAATACAATTTGCTGACTATATATTGCCTATATATATATTCAGTTAAAAAAACGTCAACGGAAGTAGTGAAAAAAAAGGAAGGGAAACGAAAAAAAAAGAGAGGAAAAGGTAATCATATAGTTGCCAGCAATTGAAATTAGTTGAGAAAAAAAGAAGGAAAAGGGTTTGTAAACAGTCATTGCTTACGAATAGTTGACAAATGAGAGGATGACCAGATAGGCAAAATTCTTATTACTAATTTTCTTTTTTTCTTGATTTCCATTTTAAGCAATTCTTATGGACTTATTAAAAGAGCATATGCGACGAAAAAATAAGTAAATTTCAATATGATATTATTAGTCATTTTCAAAAAAAAAAAAAAGAAAAAACACATAAATAGAAACGGTGCAATATTGTATAATTTTATTGAATAATTGAATTGTTTCTTTTCTTTGTTTCTTTCTTTCTCTTTGAGTTATTTAATTTAAATGGTGCAATATTCCATTCAGTCTAAATTGTTGTGAGAAAGCAAATGAAAGCAGAAATTCTTCTTTCTTTTTCTGTTTTGTGGTTAATGTCATTCTGTTTAATGAATAATTTTCTTTATGCGTTATGGATATACAGATTATTTTAATCGATAGCTTTTTTTTTTCTTTTCGCTTTTTAATATGGATATATAAATTATTTTAATGGATGATTTTAAAAAGAAATATTTTGAAATTTCGGTTTTAGTTTACCTTTTCTCTTTATTTGCCTTTTTTTTCCAGACAATGAGTGATACGCCGTGGGTAATAACTGAAGCAGAAATGCGAGAAAATGATATTCAGTTCTCGTCTCTTAATCCAGTAAATGGATTTGTTTCCGGTGAACAGGCACGTCCATTATTCATGAAATCTGGTCTTTCACCAGCAATTCTAGCTCAAGTGTGGCATTTAGCTGATTACAGTAAGGTAAGAGCATTTTTTTTTTCTTTTTAAGTACTAAAAGTAGATTCAATTTATTATAATCGTTTCGAGAACAATGTTTCGGTATCATTCTTTGGATTCAATAATTTCATCATTTTATGGACTCAATAATATTAAAAAAATCCGTTTTGCGAGACGGGTCAAGTTTACAGGATGGCAAGATGGACCGAATTGAATTTTCGATTGCCATGCATTTGATTCGTGCTGTATTGGCTGGTGCGACGTTACCACCAACTCTTCCGATCTCCTTAAAGGTTTTTTACGTGAATTTTTTTGTTTTATTTTTTGGATTAATTCTAGATTACAGTTAAACTTTTGGAGAATAAAACAAAAATTTCTAACTGCTTCCATATACAGTTATTATTTTTTGTCATTTTTCTGAGTCATTTTTTACAGCCTCCAGTGGTGATAACTCCATCATTTCCTCCACTGATGGCGCAAACACCAATGGTTACTCCAGTAATGACCTTTGGCGAACTTCTACCAACTACACAAGATTTGATCACTTCTGGGAAGATACAAGGTGATTGGACCATACCGCATCATAACAAATTGAAATATTGTCAGCACTTTAATCAGCTTGACAAAAACAGAATTGGGTCGCTTAGTGGTGTTCATGCAAGGTATTCTTTTGACAAATATTGACAAATATACCAAATAGCATATGTTGTTGGTGTATTGGTTTTTAAAGAATTTAGCTTCATTTTTTTTGAAAAAATGATATTTCTATGATATTTCAATCTTTTTTTTTCCTAATGTTTGTGTACGAAGTATTTATTTCAGAAATATTTTGGCACAAAGCCAGCTGTCGAATTCTGTCTTAGCTGAAATCTGGAATTTGTCGGATTATAATAAAGATGGACGGCTTAGCGTAGAAGAATTTTGTGTTGCCATGCATTTGATTGATTCAGTTAAGGTATTATTTTTCTATTTTTCAACACTTTATCAATAGGTAGCACATTGAAGTACTTGTCCAGATAATAATTTTAGTTGTATTTTTCTAATGGAAGCGTAATTTTCAGACTGGTTATTTGCTTCCAAAAACTCTTCCACCTGAGTTAGCTACTCACTGTTCGCGTTCCGTTTCTGATTCACCAGTACTTGATCCGAATGTACCTCCTGCACAAAAAATTCAAATACCGAAAACATTTGAGGACAAACGCCGTGATAATTATGATCGTGGGCAGGCAGAATTGGATCGACGTCGTCAGGCATTACGTGAAGAGGTTTTTACTTAAATTCGTAATTAGAAATTTGTTGGTGCTATCTGTGACTTTTTTAAGTTCTTTTGATATTAGATAATCATTGTACCAGATTTCTAGGAAGAACGTCGTCGTGCAGAATTTGAAAAGAAAGAGAGAGAATTGGCAGAAAAGAGAGAACGAGAAAGGGAGGAAGCTGAAAGGAAACGTCAGGCTGAACGTGAAGCGGAATTAGAACGTGAGCAGAAACGCGAAGAAGCTCGTCTGGCAGAAGAAAGACGTGTTTTGGCAGAAAAAGAGAAAGCTAGAAAGGAGATGGAACGGCAGAGAAAAGCTGATTTGAACGCTATACGAATTCGAGAAATCAAAGTAAGATAATTTAGCCGATGTCGTTTTGGTTCAGACCAACAAATGATTTGAAAGAAATTTTGACATGTTGTTATAAGGACATGGCCTGAAACTTGAGAACAATTAGTTGAAGTAGATGAAGCAAAGAATTATCGTTATCAGCGGCATGTCTTGTATATGCATTTCTGTGGATTTCTGAAATTCATGCAAAATTTTAGGCACAGCGTCAAAATGAAGTGGACAGCACTCTGGAACGACAGCAACGCCAGAAAAGTCTATCCTTTCAGCTTCAAGCTCTCGATGAAAAGTCAACAGAGTTGAACACTAACATTACTCAAGTATTTTGCACTATTTGTTTTTGTTGCTTTTGTTATTTTGCTCAACTGTTACTCTACTGATAAACATAGTTCCGTAAATAAACATTTGAGTTTCAAAAACACTATGGTATATATTAAGATATTGAAGAATTCTTTTATCCAAATTTAGATAGAGTAATCAGTTAAAAATTAATTCATATTTACAGTGAGTTCACTACTGTTACGGTTCGTAAACAATTAACGACTTTATTTATAGTATTTCTCTTGAATTTTATTTGTTTTGCAGACAAGGGATCTAATTGTTGGTATAACAAAAGAAATAGAATCAATGAAAGTCAGACGTGATGAAAAAGCAGAAAAAATTCGATCATTGGAAATAACGAAACAACAAGTAAATTAAAGCAGCTAAATTTCCTTGTGTTCGATATGAAATTCTCTGAGGTTTCAGAAATTTGGGGCTGTGGAAATACATTTAGCAAAAGGTGTTTATTTCAAGTGTTCAGAACTGTTCGTTATCTGTTCTCAGAGTTCTAGAATGACTTATAGGAGATTTGAGGATTTTAAGTTTGATCAAAATATAAAATGTCAGCTGAATTCCAGTTAAGCGTGCAATATGAACGACTGGCACACGAAAGTCTCCAAATGCAGGTTGAATGTCGTAATAGAGCGCAAAAGGCTGAAGATCTTGAGCAAGCGAAAAATGCAAAACAATCTCTAATTGCTCAATTATCAACGTTGAATAAACAGTTGAAAGATGCAAATGAACGAGCAAAGGTTCAGCAGCAATTGGTTACCATGGTAACAACATTTTCACTAGTTTTATTTTGTCACATTTTTTTCAATTCCATATCTTTTTCAATTCCGTATTCTCTTTTTCGTAAGAAAGAAATAAAATTTTAGAAAGCGGAAGAATTCAACGAATGTAATTTAAAGTTAACTCAACTTTCGACGCTACATTTTCAATTGTACGAACAGATTAAAACTTTGAAGTTGAAAGTAAATACCATAGTTTCTGGGCAAAATGGTGATGTGCCGAATGCTGTGACAACATCTTTGTTGGGTCACTCACTTAATAAAACTTCATCGGTTGATTCGAGTAAGTTTTAAAACTAATAATTCATCTTTATCAAATATGAATTGTGAGTCTGGTTTTGGTTTTTCAATGTTTTCTGTAGATTATATTCAGAAGTTGTCGATTTCTAGAAAGTGTTACGAACGGAACAGTTCAGCAATTTTCCGTGCCTAGTAATTCATTACCAAAAGGAAATGGTGCTACTGGTGCAGTAAAATATCGGGCATTGTATGAATTTAATGCTCGTTCAGGTGCATTTTCGAAATCTTTATCACTATTCATTTTCTCTTTTTTTTCCTCATATGTCTCGTATCACCCGTTTTCAGGAGTAATTTTGAGATATTGTACTAGAATTTGTAGATGACGAGCTTAGCTTCCAACCAGGAGATGTTATTCTTGCATTTGAAAATCATGCCTCAGAACCGGGCTGGTTAGCGGGACAGATGCGTGACAAAGTAGGATGGTTCCCCGTAGCATTTGCCGAACCAATGGTACCTGTTACTGCTGTTCCTACACAGGTAACATTTTAATTTGTTGAAATAGATCAGTAGTTGCTTAATTTCTGTCACTGTACCATTTTCTATTTAATAGATCCAATTGAATCAGTGTTCAGGATGTGCTGTTTCAGCCGCCGCAAACCATATCATCTGTTACAACTTCTCCGTCAAGCGAGCCGTTGCAGAGCATTGTAGAGGAACCGCCTGCTGCGGTTGTTAAATCAGCTTCAGGAACTTTAGGTGCTTCACCATCCGGTAGATATTGCAATTATCAATATTATAATTTTTGTAGTTGTTTTTCAAGACATTCCATGAACTTAAAATTAGTGTTTAAGGTTTTCATAAATAGAAACACTGATTCATCACAATCATATGTCTGTTAGATTCTTATTTATTTTGCTGTCATTCATCTTTTTAGGACAAGAAAAACGGTTACCTGTTCTGGGAGCAGCAGTTGCATTATATCAGTGGAAGGCAAGAAATGATAATGAGTTAAGTTTTTCGAAAGGAGATACTATCGAGATCCTGGAACAGCTAGAAATGCGGTGGAAGGTTAGATGCTAAGTAATGAATGCAAAATTAATATTCCATTTGAAAATGGCCGGAAATTTTTTTGTAACATGAATGACGATGAGGAATCTGAGCATTAGAACTATCGAATTATATAGTAACAAAATTACGTCGAATTAAATTTAGAACTTTAATTTAGAATTAAGTCTTATTTTTTCGAAGTTTTGGATATATCAGTAGTAAGTTAATAGAAAAAAAAAATTGCCAGTACGGATATTAGTTCTGCAAAAAATAGACATTAGTACAGCTACTATTAGATTTACATATTTAGGACGTTTCGGAAGACGACTTATTTCTATGATTTAGACCAAAATTTTTGCGAGTTTAATATTGACGTTAACTAGTCCTGATTATTTTGCATTTTCCAGGGTCGTAATAAATCTGGCTCAGTTGGTTGGTTCCCCAAATCGTACGTTTCAATGTCAGGTGGAGATAAGGCCGATTTGAAAGATAATTTAGTAAAAGATCAAGTTGAAAAGTCAAAAGAATCGGATGCAAAGGAACCTTCTGTACCTTCATCTATTCCCTCAGCTGGTGCAGTATATGATATTGTTACAGGTTTAGTTTTTTTTTTTTTTTTTTTTTGTTAATCCTTCATTCTTTTCCCTCTGAAATGTAAACACGTTAAAATTTTAATTCACAGCGCTTTGTAAAACTGTTTCTTTTTTTTTTTTAAAGTGATGCTTTTCCTTAGATTTTTTGCAGTATCATTTAATTATATAGCAGAAACACCAGCTGAATCGACATCAGGCGAATGGTACGTGGCACTCTATGATTTTCAAGCAATGGAACCAACAGATCTCGATTTGCATGCAGGTGATCGTATTCTTGTTACGGAAGCAATCAATGAATGGTGGAAAGGAACTTGTAATGGACGAACTGGAATTTTCCCTGCGAATTATGTGCAAAAATGCCCACCTTCTTCAGGTGATGTATCGCAGTCTGGTAAGATTTGTTGTTCATAAAAATACTATTGTGATGTTTTTTTTTTCCGTAAAGTAGACTTTACATTATAAAGCTTTGATGCGAATAAATTGACGAAAGAAAATTTAGAAAGTGCAGACTTTGGTACAGGCAGAGCTATTGCTGATTTTGAAGCTACAGCGGAAAATCAGTTGTCTCTGAAAGTTGGTGATATAGTAAAAGTTCAAAGCAAATCATCTTGTGGTTGGTGGCAAGGCGAGGCAAGTTGCACATCTTTTCTAGAATTTTCTACTTTGCAACTCCCATTTTTTCTTCGTACTACAACTGCGAGCTAAAATTCTCAGCTGAACTGTAATGATATTTATAGTTTTTTAGCAAGCAGAAAATGAGAAATGAAGTAAGAAGTTAGGGAGAATCCTGATAGGTAAGATTGCCCATGGAAAGGTTGATCTTGAAGTTAGTAACTAAAAAAGTCTTTTTCTAAATTGTGCTCAACTAGATTTGCAGAGAGGTAAAGAACGAATTAGTGTTCATTTCGAATTCCAACTTTCATTTTAGATAATAACATTGAAGTAACATTTTTGCAGATTGTTTCCGATGGTGGAACTAAAAAATTTGGTTGGTTCCCAGGTAATTATGTGGAAATCTTAGGTGGAAATGAACTGAAAGCAGAAGCCTTATATGATTACCAGGCACAGCGTGATGATGAATTATCTTTTAAAAACGGTGATATCATAATAGTCACTGATCAAAGTGATGGCGAATGGTGGAAAGGACGTCTCCTGAATGACAAAAGTAATACTGACGCACTCTTCCCAGGAAATTATGTTCAATTGCGGTAGGTTATTTTTTATTTCTTTTAGTGGTATGTTTCAACTAAATATCTTGCGGATATTTCGATGGGATCTTAAGACCAATGCGAATTCAAAATTCTGTCTTAGCGAAATTTTTTCAAATTGAAGAGCGCATTAATTTCTTAGATTGAGTCAAATTTTAAGATGACCAAGAAAGCCAACTTAATGTTACCAAATGAAGTTTTAATACAAAATCAAAAATAAGTGCAAGAACGAATAAGATTTTGATTCGCTCTTCGATTTTTTAAGAATTTATTCTTAATGTAGTATTCTTTCATATGGATAAGGTTGACATTTAAATACTAAATATGAGGGTGCATGGCAAAGTAGTCTTGAATTTGTTAGATTCTTATCTAAGTTATAAATATACATGTATAAGTTTGAGGAGTAAATAAATTTTTCATACTTTAAAAGAGATCAATTTGATTTGATGATAAGACTTGTTTGATAATGATTCACTTTTTAATGGGTCATTGAAAATTATTTACTTATGTATTCATCTTCTTTAAAACTTCATTAGCTTGCTATCGTAGCGTAGTTCCTATGATATAAGATCAACTGCAATCAAATTTAATTTGGTGTATGGCTAATATGTTTACTTTTTTTAAAAAAAAGCTCATTGCCACTTACATCATCCTTCATGTTCATGGTGTAGCTTTCCGGTATGTTAGTAGCTCTGGTGACGGCCACCTTGATTAGCACGGATTCCATAGTATTGACTTCTGCCTTTGTTTTGATTGAAATGCTCAAAACATTGTTTAAACATAATTAAATTTGACAGTTCTGGTCTTGAGGAGATAAAACTTTGCAGGCAGTAAATATATCTTTTCTTCGTTCATTTCGGTCAAATTTAAATGCGTTATTTATTCGCGATTTTTATTTCTACTTAATTAGCATCGTACTCGTATAATTCATTATTGTCGAGTCAGGTAGAAGTCATTTCATCAACGCCTAATATTTATTGGTTCGAAATATATTTCTAAAGGTAGGCAATTATTTTAATTTATCATGATGGACAGGTGCTACTTCTACTAATGCTGGATTTACTTTGATACTGGATTGTTGATTATCTTGGTATGGATATAATAAATATATAATGATTATATAAAAATTGTTTATCAGTACGCATTTCAAGTGATTGTATTTAACTACTCAATTTTCTTCATACTTTGAAGTTCGGGAGCTTTGTAAGAATTCTATGTTTTTCAAATTTTCGAATTAGGTTCATTTTTTATTTGCATTTCATTTTATTTCAAGTTTTTCTTTTTTTTTCTTTAGTATATCTTTCATCCTTCTTTGCTTTGCTTTAGATAATATTTATATATGGTACTGTTATTTTATATCATCACAATAATTCTTTATTTAATGATTGTTTTTGTCTCTCGTTATATGGTAAGGACATTAATGCATGATAATTTATAATATTTAAAATTATCTGAGACCAGAATAGAGGATTCTGGTCTCAGATAATTTTTTCTCGGAGCTCTGTTGCAAAGTTTATTTTATTATCAGTTTAACACTCGCTTTCTGTTATATTTGGAGGGATTTCAGTCCCGTCAAAAATGCTACCACTGACCTGATTTCAGTGTTAAAAGTCTAAATTTCTAGATTTTTCATAACCATAATTGCAAACATAATTATATAATTTATATATATGGTCGCTTATATCCCTCATATCACTTATGATTGAGGGACTAGAACTTTTTTTATTCTACCTTAATTACTTGTCGCATTTTCGCATTAACTACTTAATTACTTGTTGCTGGATTCAAGTTTCAGGTAATAAAGGTACTCACTACAATAATTTATTGTTTTGTATATGTGCTTCCATATGCCAGTTCGCTTAATTTATTGAGAAAATTATAGTTGCCATTGGTAAGGTTGTTGCAGGCAATGCAGCGAATAAATTTCATGATGCTGGATGGAAGATCAAGGGCATCTCAATTTTGAAGATATTTAAATTTAATATTTATAAATTAAAAAAATTACAGCTGTTTGCAACAGTTAAATTTTTGCTTGTTATGGCTTAATCCTAACTTGTCTACTTTATTTCTTAAAATGGTATCAGGCAATGGCATATCTGTACTACCACTAACTATATCAATCGAAAAATTAATTTAAACATGGAAGAAGTTAGAAAAATTTTCTTCCCTAATTTGGAATTTTCGAAGTTTTATCTCTTTTAATTCATTGATAAATATTTTAGGTCTCATTTAGTGTTACCGTGAGTGCATATATTGACTGGAGTGAATTCTTGAATGATTTTATGCAATATGCCATTGTGTCAAATAGTTTATGATTGTGCATTGCTTTCTTCTGGATTTCCTTTCTTCTAGGTATGCATTACACTTCAAGCGAGTGTCCTGATAATAAAATCTAGACCCTTTTGTCCTTTTTTCATATAATGTAGGTAAAATATTTTATGTAGCTTGGACTGAACTGATACTGCTTAAGTCATTAACGATTATTCAGCGATAGATATTTTTCATTGCAAAAGTATAAGCTAGTGTTTTATCCATTTCTGATCTTGTTGTATTATCAATGACTTGAAGATGATAGATTTTAGGAAGTAGAAATTCAAAAGTTTTAGAATTTATTATTAGCAGCAGATGCATATAGTATTTTCACTATCAAAAATTAATAGCATCAAATTGTTAACGATCATTTTCTTGCATCGCCTAATTCTGTGTTGGACGTAATCATGTGTGATACATCAAAAGAAAGCTTTCAAGTGCCATCAAACTATCGCATAAATCTGAAGGTGATAAATTATCAACACTCCGTAGAAGTGTAATACAAACCTATAAAAATGATGTTGCGAGAGGAAGGCATGTACAATTTCTCTTTCCACTAATTAGTTTTGTAATTTACTTTCTAGTATTTTCGTGATTTTAAATTTTTTTTGAAAATTCTAAACCAAAATTAACACGCTTAATGGCATAAGGTGAAGGCTATTATTTGCATATTGTGCATTTGTAATTTAAAAAACACTGGACTAATACGGATAAATTTTATGTTGATGAAAATTGATTTTGTACAGCATTCAAAAGGAAAAGGTGTGCACGTTACCAGAGCAAATTTTACTATAGAAGGATTTGGATAGATATTATCAAAGGAAAAGGTGATGATCAAATTTTAGAATTCCGAGAATTATGGATTTGACTTCAATGATTTTTTAGAGAACTATTAATTTTCCAATTCTTAACTTACTTAGATTTACTGGATAATTTATGTCATATAATATCTTTTCTGGATGCATCTCAGAAATTCGATGTATTGTTCAACAAGTGAACATTTAGTATAAAGAAAAATGAAAAGAAATAGAATGGGTTTCTATTTGTCATATCGACTTCGGCGAATTTGAGTAATTTGTATTTTCCCTTTTCCATTAAAGTACCGCGTAAAAACGGTGATCTATTTAAACAATAGATTCTTTAATGTCTTGCCTGTCTTTAATTGTGAAATATTGAGAAAGTGAATAGGTTTATATGAAAATTATGAGATACTGGAAAAGTGAATAGATTTATATGAAAACTGTAGGTGAACTAATAAAATATAAATATGAAAGTTCGACGTTGACTCTCACTTCAAAATGAAATTTAAGGACGTTTTGTGAATATTTTTGTTATATTGGAACATTTCCACATAACTGGAATTTATAATTATTTGTTTATTTTTCTCTTCGTCTCTTTTTTCAAACATTGCTTTTTAATATTTGAATTTCAAATAGAATGAGAAAAAATTATATAAAATTAAAATAATTTGAACAATTTCAATCAATTAAAAGCAACATATAGTTGTATGATTGAAAATATATGAACTCTTTCACAATTTCCTTTCTTATTTGGCATATACACGTTACACGTAAGTGATGACGCGAAGTTCATTTACACCAATCTTATTAAATTTGACATATTGTGAACTGGAAAAGTTGGTGGTTATCTTAAAATGGTTTTGATACAATTATATTGCGATATATGTGACGAGTGCGTTAATTAGTCTGATTTATTCATATATACAAGCTAAATCATTCTTGTCTCTCTTCAAATTTCGAAATAGCCCGAAATATTATTCTGACAACGATTGAACTACATTGTTAGAATGTAAGGAGATTAGAAATACTTGAGAGTTACATTTTGTTATATATCAAGCGATTGATGATTTTTTTTGTTTGTTGAAGTAAGATATGATGATAGAATATTAAATTTATTCAAAATTATATTAAATTTCTAAAATTTTTTGAATTTAGCAAATTTAATAAAGTTTTATTATTTTTTTAGCAAATTTAATAAAGTTTTATTAAAATTTGCTAAATTCAAAAGTAAAATTAATATGAATTCTATCGATACTTCATCACTTAATAATTTCTAATGATACTAATATTATCATATTTTTGTCTTTTAAATTAGTTACGTCTAAGAGTTTAAAATATCTGATGGTTACCAATTAATTCAGCAAAACCATACAACCAAGCATCGAAGTGTCTCTAAATTCAGTGACATCTTTGTATAATCAATCTGTTACAATCACAACTGAGCAATATCCCATCGTTGCTTCGAAATGCGAAAAAGTTGCAAAAGTATGCGTATTCTTTTTATCATTTTATTTTATATATGATTATTTATCTTGATGTTCTATCTAACTGAATCTTTTTAAATTAAAGTCAAATTGGAGTTTGTCCGGGATTTTTACTGCCTATTAATTAGGTTTGTAATATGATACAATGCGTTTCAAATTTCCAAATGTTTTTTTGTCGTATGTCAATTCTAGTAAAAATCATTGTATTTTTTTTATAAAACAGAATTTTTTTCAGGAATTGTTGGATACTGAAGTGAAATATTGTCATGACCTAACACAGTGCTATGAAATATTCTCTCAAGGATTAAAAGACATAATTAATACTGATCTTGCAAGCCAGTTATTTTTAAACTTTGAACAGCTTATTTCTGTATCTACGTCTATTGCTAATGCACTTGAACAACTGTCAC